AGTCGCTTAGGTCCAGTTCCCTGGACACAGGAAAAGGAAAAAAAAAAAAAATAAAAAGGAACATGTGACAAGAACAGGAAAGAAAGTGAGGATTAAAAAAGAAAAAAAAAATGGAGAAAAAATATATATATGATACTAAACGGAAAAGAGAAGGCAAATGATAATTATTCAAAGACGAACGACCGAGTTGGAAGGAGAATTAACTGCAGTAACCGAGTTATTTCTCTCAATGGAAAAGGAAAATCTTAATACGCTTTGATTCTGCAACGCTGTGCTAATATCAACAATGATAATGAAAGAAAGAAAGATTTAAAAAAAAAATAATAATAATATGAAGATGAATAATATCTATCCGTTCTCTTGCGTTTCTTCGTGATCGAAACGATAATCGATTAATCGAAATAATAATCTAAATATATTTCGCACTGGTGCGGAATAAGAAACAAAGAGAGCAGCGGAGCGGCATAGATGCATTAAACGCATAAAGTGCTATTTAATTAATGATGGACGCGTTCCGATTCGTGCGTTATCGGCGCGTTTACGTTTGAAGAGATGAGTAAAATTTTATTTATTTTTTAGCAATGAACCTATTATCTATTTCGATAAGATATTTCTTTGATTGCATTTCCTTCGAAATCGACAATTTCGGCTGGTCTGAATTTACTTAGCACGTAGGTTTTGATGATATAAATATGAAATATAAATCACAATAACAAATTCGAATACGCACGAGTGGGTGAATCAATGAGAAAGATATATATGTATATCCCGATCCTCTTCAATTTAAGAATAGTTTGAACTTGATTCTCTTTGTCGTAAATATTATCTTGTGACATTATTATTGTTGTAATTTTTTGTCTTGTTTTTTTAACAATCGAATCGATTATTAAAGAAATGTTGAACAAATGATTAGCAATGTTCAGCAAAAAAAAAAAAGTATTCCTCGAATGAAATAATATATTTATCTGTTTGTTGTATTCTTTCTTTTTTTATCATCTTAATAATATTTTCTTTTACCTTCTTTTTATCATACTTCGTCAAACTTTTCATTGAGTTTAAGAGGGTCGGTGAACCCGCAATCTGTGCACAAGGAATATAATAATTGTCCAAACTGAGCGTTCTGATAGAAACGGCAAAGAAAAGGCATAGAGGAAAATTGATCAACTGGCGCAGATGGTAATGACATATTGTGATCTATAAAAAAATTAACAAATTACAAAGCATCAACAAGTAGTAGATATTTAAGATAAAATATACATATACGTACACCTACGCTGATCTAGACACACACTGTCTAATTGATGTACGCGATCACGTGTATAACACACACATTAAAAACATTAAAACATAAAATAATAACATGTTATTGAAATGAGGACGACTACAGCGTACCTAAGTAATAAAAAAAAAGAAAAAAAAAGAAAAAGGGAAAAGAAAAAACAAAGAAACAGAGTCAGAAAAAGAAAGAAAATATAAATTAAAAGAGAGAAAAAAAAAACACAAAAAAGAAATCGTCTGACACATTAAAGAAATAAAGAAATAAATAAATAAACAAAATAATATAAACAAATAAAGAAGGGAAAAAAAATGAAGAATGAAAAAAACACGATGCTCCTGCCACGCAGCGAGTCCTTAGACAGCTTTAAGATAATAATTATAAATGATAAAATAATAATTATTATTAAATAATAACGATAAACTTTCTATATGTTGAATCGTGTCTAGTGAGAGAAGTACTCTATTGAAATAAAGCAAAAAAAAAAAAAAAAAATTTACTATCGCCACACACGGATTAACAACAGTTTATAATTGACCATTAGTTGTCTATCGAATGTTCTTTTTTCATATAGCGGAGAAGGTGATTGTTAGAGAATAGCTTGGTGTTTCGTTTGCTGTTTTACATGAAAAAAAAAAAAAAAATAAATAAAAAAAAACGTTGTGCTGTTGGTAATCGGCGAACCTTTTTACTAAATATTGATATGAAAAGAAGCGAGAAAAAGAGATAGAAAG